AAGAAAGACAAGATAATAGAAGCTGTGGTTATGGTTGTTAGCTGCGACAGTTGTAAAAGATACTAATCTGCATTTAGCTGGAACGTTTCCTGCTGCAAAATATCAGCCAAAGAACCACAGTTTTACTTCACTTCCACTCGACGTCTTGAAAAATTGTTTCTAAGAATACCATCTACAATGTTTACTCTGACAGACACTTTCCACTGTTGTTCAATTTACTTTTTAAAGTTAGTTTAAAATAAGTTTCTTCAAGTTTATTTTAATTTTTTTTGTCTTCTGCTTTACGCTTTATCGCTGCATATATTAGCATTATAAAAAAAGGGCAGCAGACGTTGTCTTTTTGCTTGCTCTAAATTTGCAAGCCCTAAATTTAATTAACGCTTTTGCCGAATTGACTTACTGTGATTTAGGTATATAACGTCTAATAGTCTCTTTTCATTCTGTAATTATCAGTAATGTCTTTGTTTAGATAAAAAGTAGGAACCTTTTTACTACAGAAAATCAAAATATTTTAGACGATTGTTTTTTAAAAAAATAGTAGTGAAAAAGAAATAGTGAATACTGCACTGAGGGTTTTTAGAAATTTTGATCTTTATGTAAGATGTAATGAATATGTAAGATAACCAAAACTTTTTCTAGGGAATTACAGATGTGACTTGCAGTAAAAGCCACACTGTACGTTTCAATCACAGTTGCTAATGTTTCATATCTTGATTGCTGGTTTATAACCAAAAATTAAATTTGACATTAAATACTGAAAAAGTTTAGCCACAGTTTTTTACTTCATGATTTCTATCAAGTTTTTTTTAAAAAAAATTTTTTTCTTAAGTTTCTCTGCTTCTACCTATTTTTTACATTTTTTTCCTCACCTATTAATTTATGCAGTAAAAATTCTTTTTCAAAGTATTCCTCCAAAAAGCAAAAAAGTGTTCTCCGCGAGAAATTGCTATGTAACAAAAAGTTTAAGTGTTTAAAACTGTTAAAGACAAACCATCTACGAAGATTTTTTAATGCCATGCTGATAAAACTCAGACGATTCATTAAAAGTTGTGATTACTGATGTTAGAAATCTAGGTAGAAAGTTCTGTGCGGTACATAGCTATAGACAACATTCATTTTTGTCTAACCACTTAGTGCAAAGTCTAATTCTTAAAGTGCAGTGCTTTGAAAACCAACTAGTTGACTAGTTCTTGTTTCTCTTTTTTCTTTTTTTTTTGTCCTACCAGCAAATGATTCAGATTGTCGTATCATTTTCTTAGCAAATCGAACGTCAGAACCTTGAGTAGCACCAACTGTTTCGATGCTCTTCTCGGAGTGCAACGGAGATAGAACGGGATGATCATGGTTATGAGCCTTAAAAAGTTCAGCTTAACAAATAAGAACCAGTTTTGAATTGGAGACATATTAATTAAGCTAATAGTATGCAAGATTAATAGATTTTTTTCAAAGACTTTTTTATGAAACAGACTAGAATTTTGAGGGTGTTGTACTAATAAAGCTATCATTATATTTTCCACAGATAAGACTGACAAGCATCTTTAAACTATTACGAAAATTGGCTATGGGTCATATGCTATGTCTATGTGTGGTTGAGTGCCATAATTATAAACTTAGTTGTTAACTACCAGCCAAAGTGCACACTTTACACTGTATTAGCGCACTAAGTATTTAGAGTTAAAATTTGCCAAAATTGGTTACGTTATGTTGAAAATTATCAGATGATGAGGTAAATTCTTCATCGCTATCAGTTTCCAGATGTTTATCGTTTCGCGCAGATGATGCTCGTTCATTCAACGACTCACAATATAACAGATGGGTTCCGAGTTCAGGACAAGATACTGTAAAATAATTGTTGTCTTATTATTCTAAACAGTAGCCAACAGACGTGTTTTAGAAGTATGTACCTTTTAAAATAAAAAAACAAAAAAAAAAAACAAAACTGTCAAATATTAGCGACAACTGTAAAGTAGCAGCAATTATTACCGCTTCTAAGAAGGCTATTCGTACCAACCGAATTGCTACCTCTTTTCTTCGTGTCCAAATTCTCAATTACAGCAATCGTTTTTCCAACTTTATGTGTTTCTTAAAAAAAGAAAAAGAAAATCATAATTTCCCGTTCTAATCTAGTTTTTTTTTTAGTTTTCAGGTAAAAATCGGGTAAAAGATTGTTCTTAATGTATTAAAATTACTTTTTCAATATAAACTTTTTTTCTTAATTACTATATTTTTTATAACTCTGCTGAACACATACCATGTGAATCGCTTAATTGCTCTTCATCAATTCCTAAACGTCCTTGACTACCACGACCACTATCATTAGTTGATGGAGACTTACGTTGCCTATTTTCTGAAATTTTTCCTCTGAATAAAGCATAAATTTTTCTTTACAATACGATTTGTATAACAGAAAGCCAGTCAACTAATATTTATAAAATTGTTCCAAGTAACAGTTTTTTTCCTAAAAGTAAAGTTCTTCTTTATTCTTCTATTTGTTTACAGAAAAAATACACTGTCATTGCTGTTGCTGTTATGAGAAGAACACTGTGATTTCAAAACCATAAAAACTTTCTACTATTTTTTCACAACAACTTTGCTAAAAGCAAAAAAAGCTAAGTAAAACGCAAAAGAAATTTGCAATAAAGATGTAACCTTTGGTACTATAGTCGATGGACGTATAACCAGTATGTTCAGTGTCGCTTGCACATTCTTTTGATGAACTTTCACCTAAAGCTACACTGTGCCGTTTCTTTCGACTTCTTTTTCCAAAAAATGCATGTGCTCTGAAAATAAAAATAAAGATAAAACAATCTTTTAACATTTCACATATTCTCATAATTATTTATTCAAAGATACCCTACAGTAGATAATAATTAACAAATCTGATAAAACATTTTGAAGACTTGTTTTTTTTTTTGAAGACTACCAAGCTAGAAGTGAAGCAAAACCTCAAAGAACAACCAAAAATTTCTAGTTTCAACAAAAGAAGGTTTTAAAAACTAAAGAAGTTTGAAAAAACGTTGTTTTTACTTGGCTTTAATTTTTGTAAGTGACAATGAATTTGTTTTTGAGCCTCCATATCGTATTGGTGGTGAAGGAAGTAAATCACTACGACTTTTTATCGGAGATTCCGTAATCGATTCACCGTCTAAACATTCAGCAGAACAGTTGTTTAATAGACATAAATTTTACAAAATTAACTTTTTTTTTTACTTGCACATAATTCAGACAAGGATAATTTAGTTGTTCATCTTTAATTTTACAAGTAACTTTTAGTGGAATGTAATAAGCTAAAGTTTAATGTGAAATACGTAGTTTCAGTTTTATTTATTATTCTTAGTAAATCTTACAGCTGTTTTTTTTTGCCTATTTTTTTTCAAATTATCTTTTCAACTGCAGACTAATTCTTTAATATTAGACAATAAATATAAGTTGTAAATAAAAAATTGCTAATTGATTAGCTAGTTAAAGCACAATTACCTTTGTTGGATTTTTCTTCTGGTAGTAATTCAAAACCACTATCTGCAAGTTGTTTATTCTGATATCGTAACGATTGCAACAGTGTCATACGACGTTGTCGTCGACCATTTAGATAGCTGGTTGGAAGATCATATACATCTTGATCATTATCTCCACCAACTGTAAAACAGAAGAAGGAAACAAAAAAATAACTGAATCTGACAACGTTCTCGTACAAACTACGGAATCATTTTTTTTTTTCTTTAATTTTATCTAAAAGCGGCTTTAATAGCTGATAATAAGTTGTCATAACTGGAAGAGACTAGAAAGAAAAAGCAAAACATAACAGAACAACTACGGGTAATCATCATTATCAGTGTGATATTTTGGAAGGAGTCACAGATTAACATGTTTAAAATGACGAAACAAAAAAGCATAAAGAAATATTAAATGAAAAAAATGTCATCAATATATCATTGAAGAATCCTTAATGCCGTATTATTTGACATATAAAAAGCATAGAAAGTTGCAAATTTTCAACTGAAATATTTGTCTCCTATCTTTTCTCTTCTTTTTCTTCCTCTTTACTTATTTTTTTTTTATTATTGGTTTATTGACTGATATGTAGATGATTAACAGCTTATTTAATCACTTACCACTGGAACATCTTGCACGACTTGATAAACGTTCTCGAATTGGTATATGTGGTGCAATTGGTTGACAAAACGGTTCTGTAATAATAAGAAAAAAAAATTTGATTATATATATTTATTTAGATAAATATAAATTGTGCGAGAAAAAAAAAACTAAAATTAGCTGTTGAAGAAAAGGAAAAAACTTTTTACTTTATGCTCTTTTTTTTTTTTTTTTTGCCTTCCTTCTGTGTACTTTTTCACCTTTTGTTCTCGGTTTTTACTCTTTTCTTTTTTTTTT